GGGCTCATCTCGGAGGTTGTTATGCACAACCGTGACATCACCCACGAATGTAGCGTGTTCTCCACGTCGTCGCAGTTTGGATGCTCGCGCGTAGAAGCGAGAGAAATGTAAAAGTTATTTGTATCCCGCTTTTTTAATTGAAATGTGGTCTTTCAAAAATAAATCCTGTGTGTGATTAGCTTGTATACTCACGTTGCACGAAACTGTTACGACTCCTCTTATCATCCAGTACTGTTTACTTCAATCACAGATCCTCGTTTCCTGAGACTTTCATTGCCCCCTTCCTGAAGATAATCTCCTCCAGAATCTACTACAAAATTTGAATGTTGGCGTTTTTGCCTCTTCTGAACCTTTACACAACCCACTACCCCAACCTGCAAAATCGTTGCTACAGCCAGCGATGGATAACCTTCCCAAGACGACGACGTACATCCTTGAATATCAAAATATTCTGAAAAACTTACTTTACACTTTTTTTGTAAATCACTTCATTCATCGGTTGTATCGTTCAGCAAACACATTGAGAGCTTGTTTTTAACGCTGTCGTCTCTGGTAACACACTTCTCGATATCAAATGTACGTAAATTACTGAGCCTGATATTTCCCATGGAATTTCTTATTGATGCCTTTACGCTCTTTAATGCAATCATATTTCTTTCACATAATGTTGTGGATACAGGGAAAGCCTGAGTTGTATCAAACGAACAGTCTTTTGATATTTCTTTTCTAATCCTTTGTCCAAGAAATACTTCAGCATCAAGTCTGCAGGCATGTATTTTGCATACATTTGTCAGTTTATTTCGAAGCTGTTCACTGTTAAAGAATGGATATTACTTTATTAGCAAAGAAAACTTTTCTGAAGGAAAGGACGCTTTGTAGGTGAAAAACTTTTCGCCAAGAAATTCAATAAAATGAAAGTTTTACAGATCTTGAGGCCCCTTTGTGTCAAAAATTTTAAAAGGATCAATTTTTTGTATTTCAAATAATTCTGATTCTAAAAGTTAATTCATGGTCATATCTGCTTCGATGCAGTTTTCTACAGCCTATTCATATGAGTATCTAACGGCATATTACTACGTATATAGTCTTTATCTTAACTCGCGACATAACTGGTAGCACCTGTTCTTTTGTCAATTTGGCAACCGCGTGTCTTTGTCCTTCCAAGACTGGCACGTCAAGACAGCAGAGAAGGTAGTGAACATCAGGTCATAAGCTGCAGCATCTTTCCTCTTTCTGTTTTTCCCATTCAAGAGCTTAGGCGGACAGGTGCGCGGCTCACGCACCAGAATTTTTTCGCGCAGCGCAGGGTGGGGTGGACAGAGGCATGAGCGAGCAAACAAAACGTCTCTTTAGGCGATTCTGTCCAGTGTGCTTAAGAAACAAAACTAATGCTGAAGATGTGGAGGGAAGTTATGATTGATTTATCGATTTATTATCAACAACGTAACAATAATTATTATTTAATGAAAGTTGGCTCAGAGAGAAATCAGATGGATATCTCGTGAAACATCACCGCCAAGCTCTTCATTATTTATAAAATTATTATTATTATTATTATTATTATTATTATTATTATTATTATTATTATTATTATTATTATTGAACGTAAAATTAAACAAATTGGAAAATCTTAATACAGTTAGTAAACATATTAATAAAGTGTTAATAAGTAGTAACTTAATCATTATCAATAATTAATGAAAAAATAAACAATATTATTGTGATAAAATAACAATAAACTGACCGTAGAGTAAATTCTCAAAGTGACCACCACTTGCCAAGTGACAGGCGCTTACTATTTTCAGTATAGTGGCTGCAACACGTTGAAGAGCGACTTCAATTTGCCAAATAGACTCCGTGATGTTGCGTCGTAAATCATCAAGAGAGGTTGGTTTATTTGCTGAAACTTAACTCTTCATAAAAACCCACAGAAAAAAGTCCAGTGTAGTAAGATCTGGGGAACGAGGTGGCTACAGACCTTTTGAAACAGTTCGTTCTTCGAAAAAGTCCGCTAAGAAATTCATACTATCGTTCGCCGTATGACATAGGGCGCCGTCTTGCTGAAAGCAGCTGTGCCTCGCGTCTTCTTCTAAAAGAGATACAAAGTGTTCAATAATGTATTTATACTTTTCCGAAGTAATTGTCTCCGTGAAAAAAAATGGTCTGATAATCCGGCTACTCGATAATCCCGATAATCTCCGACTTTCGGAGAATGAAGAGGTTTTTGAAGAGATGCAGCTGGTTTCGATGTGCACTACAACCGACAATTTTGTTTGTTTACATTTCCGTCCAGATGAAACCAAGCTTTATAATTAAAAAACAAGGAGACAAGAACTTGAATCCCTAATTGAATAACGGTCCTAAACCAACGGCAGAAATGCATACGCGCATCCTTGTCTAGTGTTTTGAGTTCTTGAACGATCTGCCGCTTGTAAGAGCGCATTTTCAATTTCTTCTTTGCAATATATGCACTGCTAAGAGAAACATTGCATTGCTGGTGCAATTTCGACAGCGACGTCTCAGGAGTACCCTTCAAAACCTCCTGGATTTCTAATAATTCCTCCTCCTTTAAAACAATGGCACTGCGACTCTGCTTCCTATCCATAACGTTCCCCGTGTTCCTGAAGCGTTGGATTAATCTACAAATTGTTGACTTGTTGGGAACTGGCGTTTCCAGAAATTTTTCTTGAAATATTTCCTGACTCTTTAAAAAAGATTTAGTGCCGAAGTAAACTTCCACCAAAAATACATGTTGATCCTTCGCCAACATTTTCGAAGCGATTCCGCTTTCCTAAAAGTCCCTACGATCATGAATCAAATGTGAATGAATGACTGCCCAGGAACAGAATAAGTGCTTTCTCTTTCTTCCAACAAAAATAGCCCCGTTCTCCCACTCCAAAATCGGAGGGCACGCGACTGCGACGGGGGGTGGCTCGCTAACAGTGCAAAGGAAGTCAAATTTCACGTGTTGCCAAAACAAGTGGTTGTGCTCTCAGATATGGGTTGCGAGTTAAAGACCTGTACTATTTCTATCTCTACGTTATACTACTTGTCTCACAGATTCCACATTGTTGAGCGAAAACTGCATTTTGATATCGTAAACCGTTTAGAAGTTATGGGCCTAGAGTTGGTGGGATTTTCTCTGTAATTTGTTGCTTCAGTAATTGTTTCATGAAGAAAACACCAACAAAAATCACACAAACAGCTCACTCCTATTTCCCACAACGTTAGGGCGCTGAGGCGAATTTGCTTTAGGGACCGAAGCGTAGACGTGCAGTGCGCATGCTGGAAGCCTAGACTCTCTTCTCAGTCAATGTGAGAGAAGGAGATAGCGCGTGCCCTCTTGTGCGCATGCGCGACAGAGACAGCCGGTGTCTGCTCGCTCACAAGCAAGCTCCCCGCTCAGCCCATACTCTCTGGCTCTACATGACAGTTTATGTCATGCTGATTCCGTCCGCGTAAGCGAGAAACATGAAGTCGAACACATTTAATTTTCTTTAACGATTATGTGAAAAAAATGTTGGAAAAAGGCATACATAACAATAGATTTTGTTGAAAAATAATTTAAGTATTCTAAGGCTTTTAGATTACCCTTCAGCTTCACCACTGGTAGGCGCTAGTGTTGTTTGCAGATGGACATTTTAGACAAAATTAGTAGACGTGTTTCAGTATCAGAGACCCACAAAATGTGAAATTTGGCCATGCGGCGGCGATGGTGTAACGGTTAGCGTACTGGACTGTTGTACCCAAGTTGGCGGGTTCAAACCCGATCGAAGCCGAGGATTTTTAAGGGCGAAAAAATCCTTCGTACACCTTCCTTCGGAGGGGAAGTAAAGCCGGCTGTCCCATGTTCGTAGATTTACTTGCATGTAAAAGATCCTCAAGCCTAAATGACGCCTCTGAGCTAAATTCAAAATCGCCTGTTTCTCGCCCAAGAAATACCTTTCTCTCCTAGTTGGTGAAAGGAGCGTAGCGAAATTTGCGTGGTCAGACGGAAGAGCGGGCCTGATGGCCCGAGTCTCGCCACGTAAATTAAGGCAAGTTCAATTCAATTCAATGCTACGTATAGGAGAATTAATATACTACATATTTAAGTAAGAAAAAATATTTTTTCCTATTACAGGTGCAAAAACATGTTTTTCTGTTTAAGAATCCACACTTTTTCAAGTACCATTGCAAAACTTTCCATACTACAAGATAGTTAAAATTCACCATTGCCCATTTTCTTGGCTTTATGATTTGAAATTTGTTGGGTTCCTTGCCATATGGAATTCACAGGAAAAGTAGCAGCCAACTGGGCTATGAAATTAACTGTTCAGGATCATGCTATTGATATACAATTGATATACATTGATATACATATGATGTATTCCTTGGCCCCTTATCAAACATCCAGGCTTTCTTAAAATTCTCCATCCTTAAGATATGGCAAGCATTTAAATTACCCAACATCACATTTAAATTGTGTTTAATTAAGGACCGTGTAAGTTCTCAATCCAGGTGACCTGGCATGAGGAAAATATTTTAGCGTGTCTTTGGATGGGTCATTGCCACTTTTCACAAGGTGGGGAGAATCACTACATCTGCAACAATGTAGGTGAACCTGTTTGTGGAGCATTGAAGGAAGGTTTTGAAGCCAGTCCCCTAAAATACCATGTGACCAGCTCTCTTCATGAGGTACTTGCTCATAAACCTTTTCCCTTTTTAGGGATACAGACAATTTTCAGAAAAGGGGTCTGAGCTTTTTATCTTGTATGTGACTCTCACATTTTAAGGTTTTTAAATTTTTGCTCTTTTGTGTATGTTGTTTTCTGTGTGAATTTTGATACTTTTTTATGCTTGTTATTATGTGTAGATCATTTTCTTATGTACCTTGTTTCCAAATGTTTTTAAAAATAATTTGCTGTTGGCGTAAGTGACCAAAAGTTGACATGCTCTTAAAAAACTTTTACTTCCATTCTAAATATCAGTCACAAAATTGTTTTAATTTTGAATTTCAGAAATGGTTGACAATTTTGAAGAGTTTAGTTTGCCGCTGTTATGCTTACCATGGTTGTGAGTTCATGTTGCAGTTCTGTACAAATCTCTGTCAATGCCCTCCTCAAAATTTATCGTTCACTACTTTTTGGGCTGACACTACATCAATATATAATAACACTACAGGAATGCTTCTTGTCACCTTTAGAAATGAAAATATGGTTAGTATATTTTATGGAAAATATCTCTTCAAATTTCATTTTTATTTTATTATTTAGTGAAGTATATTATTATTCTTATATAGTGTTATGACAGAAGAAAAGAATGTCCCATCCAAAAACTTTTGCCTAATGGTAATGACAATGGTGACGGTGGTGATGATGACCTTGATGGCAATGTTGAAGATGATGATAATGATGGAGAATCAGTATCCTCACAGATTGTAGCATTTGACATATACCTCTGTGATGAATGTGATGGGGAGTTCAATTCTTTAGAAGAAGTACAAGTAAGTCTCGATTGATTGTTTACTATTACTAATGACAATTTCTGATAATTTAATTTTTTATTACTTATTAATATTATATTTGTATTTGATTTCTGTTTGGATCTCACATTTTCTTTTTATTTGTGTATTTTTTTACTCTACCACAACTTTTTATTAAATTATTAGTTATATTCTTGACGAATGCCATAAGACAAGTATTATTATGGTGGGTTGCGGAATGTGAATATTAAATAAATAAATTGTGTTCAAACAATTTTAAAATTGTTTTTCTACAAGATAACCATGGCGACAAGGTGAATACGATTAAATAAGTAATCAAATAAATAAAAAAAATATGTGTAATGAAGGTTATGCTTTGCTTTTATACAGCTTGATGGAAATTTGAAAATTTTATATAACTTTGGTCTCTTATTTGTAGTTAGAGTTGATTGTACAAGCAAAACTGTTAACTCCAATTTACATAAACAAGGTCAATTAAAATCTTGGGATTGAACTTGTTTAATACACTGTATTTTACAAATGATTTGCAGCAGAAAATGGATCAAGGACATTATACGTACGAGTACAGTTTAATAATACAAAAGCAAGTCCAGGATGCTTTCTTAATGTGGAAATCATTTTGAAAATTAATCTTATTTTGGTTATAACTAATTGCATTGCTGATAGGTCATTTTCAAAATTGAAAATAGTTAAAAGAATTGTGACATTATATTATATTATATATTATACATTATATATTATATTAATTAAATGTACAATTTAATTTATAATTCCATTCTTCTTGTAAGTTACATTATTTCCTAGTAAAATATGTCACTTGTAAAGAAAATATCAATGCAAAATGGGGCCCAGAAATGTAGTTGCCCTCTTGTATTTTAGGTTGTGCACACCTAACACGTGTATCACTAAATGAAGAAAGCTTTAAGATGATGAAGAAACATCTTCCATTATTTTAAAATGTATATTATTTAAATCACCTATAAGGTTTAATTTATTAGATATTGATGATTCTTTATTGTGGGGTTAAATCAGTATTTTGAAAGTACAAATAGAGTAGCTCATGCAATTCAGTGATGAGTTTACATTCTTGTGTTGCTAATTTGAAGAAAACCTACAGTGATTTTTTTTTCTTTCACTGATGCCAATTAATAGTAGTAACAACTATTTCTCCTAATTTTCAATTCTGGAATCATAAAGGAATGTTATTATATTACCAGAAACATATATTACCTTTATCAAACAACAATATGCAATTGCAACTTCCAATAAGAACTGCTGTCTTGCCTTATTTCAGTATGAAACATGCTGACATGTACCATAATAAATACTTGAAAAAGTTAAGTGTTATCAGGATGGTGGAGTCAATTGAGGATTAAATATTTTTTATTCTTCTAGAAAATTTCTGTTAACTGGCCCATTATTAGTACATTTACCTTAGATGCTTTTTTTGACTATTAAAAAATGATCATGCTGGCTGCTGATCTGTTTCCTGTTCACTTACAGTTGTGGTGAGATTCTCTTGACTTTATTAATTTTTTTGGTGAGACACAAAACTGTTTAATGTTTTCTCTTTTAACGTTTGTGTCTAATGAGTGTCATTGAAAATTGTAGAAATTGATATTGACATTCAATGGTTGATAAACAATAGTTTTCTGGTTTGTCTTGAGTGTTCTGCAAGAAACATCATCTGTTCATTGTTTTGACAGTTTCCTCTGCTTAAGCGTGTGCTCTTCGTTTGTTATGACTATATATATATATATATATATATATATGACTAT